CTCTCTCTCTCTCTCTCTCTCTCTCTCTCTCTCAATTTCTCTTAATTCAGCTATAATTTCAGGGCACGTTCTATTTTTAGCAGAAGAGTTGAATCTCTAACTATATGACTATTGCGGAAAATCCGAGAGAATTATCGTCACGTGCGAGTACTGTAACGATAATGCCGTGACGTAATCGTCAAACAGCGACTTGCATGCATTTGTAGAGCGTTCTATTTATTTCTATATAAATTTAAAAAAAAAAGAAAAAAAAAGAAAAAAGTAACCCCATACAAGTTTTACGCTCAGTGCGCAAATAGAGAGAGATCATTAAACATGTTTCGTGCACAATCAGTTCTGAAGCCAAGCGTATAGAGGGAAGACATAGCATAACAAAATCAAAAAAAAAAATACGTAAAATAATTATATATTGTCGGAATGGGGCTCTTACCCTGGAGGACGAGGGGGCACTTCCGGCGCTCCCCCAGATCTTGGCGGGGCCATCGCTAACCACAGCCTCACCTAGTTGGGACATCGTAACAGTAGGCGTTACCACAGTCTTTGTAGAACTAAAGTATTATGCCTCTCCTTACAAGAAGCGGGAGATTACGCATAATGATCGCGCATGCTTCAGCTTGTATATTACATACCTATTCATACGATTCTCGAACGATCGAGGACTCGCTCATGGTCTCTCGTGAAGGATTGTCGCGGTTATCATACTAATATCTCAACGTTTATTCGAATCGAATGTGTAAAGAAAAGAATTGCTTCTTGCAAATTCGATATTTAATATCTCTTTACGTATCTCTTCTTTCAATAACGTAAAAGGCAAAATTTTACTCGAGGTATTCTCTGCGTTCGGAATTATCTTGGAAGAATTAGGGTTCGACGTTGTCGTTATGTGTTTTCTAAAATTTTTCTTATACAGATCTCACGAAGAAACACACGGAGCCTCAGAGGATGCATTATAATAAGTGTAATTAGTCGTAAGAGTAAACGCGTGCAATGACAAATCTAGAAAAATGTGCGTGATCTACGAGGGGAAACTTATGATGCTTGTAATACTTTTTCACAGTACTCGCTCATGAAACTCACGTCGTATGAGAGATTAATATCGGGAGTGCAAAACCGGAATTACATTGAGGTTGTACGATACAAAAAAATTTGACGAGATTCGAAGAGGAAAAGCAATGCCTCTCTGTAGAAATGTAAACAAAAATGCGAACTTATTAAATTTGAACTTGCCTTATCGCGAGGGCAGATCATCTTTGAGCGATCGTGTATGCTGAAAGCATACTACGAAATCTCGCATTTTGAAAATAAATCATTTTTATATGCCTATACTTAAGTATCTTTAACAAACATATAATTTATGATAACAAAAAATTTATATCTATTATAAATTATAAATAAAATTATATAATTATATTACTTTGTAATATAATTCCGGGCAACGCACAAAATAAAGAAAAAAAATGCATCAAAACAAATTAAAAGGAGAAAAAAAATATTTACATTGTGGAAAAAGTAGGTTGTACCGAGATTTCTAGTTCTGCTAAGTGAGTCTTATTCGTAGCTAATCGTTCCGAGTAATCGTTTCTATACGATCTCGGAATAATACCTATATTCGTACAGCGTTAACGAAAGCTCTTGCAATTCGATACCTGCAGAAGGCATCTCGAACGTCAGACCAAGTGCTTCAAGATCATCCTGAGAAACTTGACCAGAAAGATTATTCTGTAGATTGTTGGGCACTCTCTGTTGCTGCTGTTGCTGCTGTTGTTGCGTTCGTGCGCCGACAATCGCCCTCAGTTCTTGCCGCACAAATTCCGACGTACTGGCATTACCTAAGACAAGAAGATAAATCTTTATAAATAAAATGTTATCGGAACATATATCATATTTCCTTTAGACATCGCAATTCTCAATTCTCAATTCTCAAAATTCTCTGTGCGTTACTTGTATGTGTGTCTGTATATGTGTGTGCTTTTAATATCACATATTTAAATTAACTGAAAATTTCATTAGAGTTCATTAGATTTCATTTACTCAAAATGTAGAATGTTGCACTTATGGCACTAAGATGCGACAATAATGGATAAAATTAAGATACATTGTGTGTATGATAAATTCTGTTTCGATTAAGAACAGCGATGATTCCATTTATCATTTAATAAGATATAAAAGATATATGTCATATATTTTCTTTTGATAACAGATTCTTTAGAATTGTTCATGTTTTTATAAAAATCAAAATGATAGTCAATATAAAATATTTTTACAATTAAATTTATGTTCAAATCTATTTCAAAATAAATGGCGAATGACATTTAATTTTTTTTAACATAAAGAGATAACTATAAGAAAGAAAAAGTTTTTCCTTTCTCTTGTACGAAAAGATATTCAAAATTTTCCGGAAATGTTTAAAAAATTTGTATGACATGTGAAATAGAAAATCATTTATATATTTTGTTTTTCTTCGAAATTTTCCTTTTATTTCCCTTGAGATTCAATTATTCTCAGTTTTCTCGAAAGAGATATTATAAAATAAAAATAGTATAGAACGTTCGTATCATTTTCGGAAAATGCTAGATTATAATTGATGTTTATAGTCAGTTTTTATATTTAAGATTGTTTTAAATTGAGTTATCTTAAGTCACCTTAAGATCCTATCCAATGGAATGGTCGTATAATATTTTGAAATCCTACTTGAAGTGATCTTCAACGTAAGAACTGAAACTATCGGTCTGTACACATTTTCTTTTGTAAGTTTGTCTGTGTTAAAGTAATATCTATGATGACTTTTATGTCCTTTCTATTTCTCAGATCCCACATCACATGATTTTCTTTGTCCAGAAAATTTTAAATCAGTCAGAAAGGAAAACAATTTTCCGAAGAAACACAAAACGTACTAAGCAGTTTTAAAGTACAAAAATATTTCGCTTCCATCTGATGAGAAAAATGTGGGAACAACGAATTAAGCTTTAAATATACAACTACGAAGAATATCGAAATGGTACAGTCATACAACATTTCCATTTTTTTTTTTTAAACAGATCCGGATTTTTTAAATTTAAACTGTTCTCTTAACTGTTCTATATAACTTAATCAAATTTTAACTTTTAATTATTTATAACTATTTATAACTAAAAAATATTATATACTCAAACAATAAAATATTTCAAACAATATAATATACTACGTTCTTTGGTCTGTAATCAGAAAAACTTTACGATATATCCAAACTATCTTATTTATCTGCTTATTATAAAATTTCAATTTTTTAAATAAAACTAATGATATATACGTTATGAGAGATCGATGGGATTGATAGAAAATAATGCGCAAAATATATAAAAATATTAATCACGGAAGCTCGATGCATTGTACATAAAGAGGCCGCGTTGTTAGTAAATGATTCCACAGCATAAGCAGTGTTTGAATTCGTCTTTTTACATTGAGATGTTATATTACACAGATGAAAACACAAGACCTTTTCCCTCCCTCCACTTCTGCGTGAGATGAGAGACTGATTAAAGTGAAATAAATCAAACGTCACATTTACCACTTTTTAGTGCTTCCCGCTCTGTGTGCAAGATGAAATATCTTTCATATCCCTTAATGACAACATACTTAATATCTTTAAGCTTACGATATTTTCAACTATAATACATTTAAACTTACAGTGCATCTTGCGTACTATGAAAATGTGTATAGTCGAACTATTTTAATCTCGATCTTCGATTGACCGTTTCAAGACTAGCAACTGAGAGAGAAATACTGGAGAAGTATATTTCTCTTTTACCATCTTCTCATACTATCTTATTATCTTATACATGCTTAGAATGAAAATGACTGATGAGCTTATGAACACGTGTGGACATAATATCGATTTGGTGCAGCAGTAGTAGAATATGATCTTACCTTAAGGTCCAGGAAATTAATCACTCAAGTGTTCGAGCAATGATTCGCTATGCCAAATAAGCTCATTTTCATTCTACACACATATTATTAGATTGCAAAACTATGCAACCGAGGGAGAAATTAAGAGCAGAGAGTTTGCCTGCTCTCAATAATTTGAAATTAAAGAAGTTCGACTACATTCTTAAATTACTATTATGATATAACTGCAGTATAATATAATGTAGTTCATCCCTATGATATCTTTCATATTTCCAAAGAAAAGATCCATGGTTATGTACAAGATCAATTGACAGTAACGATACTCGCAACGTTGAATCACCTTACCATTTGCCCAAGATAATTTAACGTTACTACGTTAACAACATCAACTAACTTTAGTCGATCAAGAGATTAAAGGAATAGCAAAATTTTTTTACTTAAAATTTTCTTTTTCACAAATTTTCTGTTTCTTAAAATTACAATTTTGCTTACAAATAATACAGAACGTGAACAGAAATATTTACATCCTTTTACAATCTATCATCTTTGATTTCGTAATTCAAATGGCACAAATTAAACATATCGTTACGATATTATGCGACTTATAATACGGTAAACGCAGTGATACAATATTGTAATTTAATATATGAGATCATTCTATCACAGCACATATTTCATTGGTGCAAGTAATGAATTATGCCAAATCATGTATCTTGCGATGACAGAGACAATTTTGAATTACACATAATACAAACTAATACCAGAGATTACGAATTTTTCTTAAATTAACTAGTGAAGATCTTCTTTATCGTCAAAATTATCTTAACTTGTTGAGATCATAAATAAATAGCAAATAAGAGATAAGTAAAGCAAAAAAAAATAATGTAGAACAAAGCGATTACTCATAAATACTATTATATATACAAATTTCTTTTTTACATTTTTATATGAAATTGTAATTAATCGCTTTAGATAATTAATCTCAATTTCCACATATTATCACATATTTTCAAAATTCTTTATTATATAATTTACTCGTTACGAGCTGTCTTATTCTGTATTTTGTATGATAATGATAATTTCGTTATCGTTAATGCATAAGCAACTATTTTGTAATACATTTTGTCTGTCCAAGAATTTATAATATATGTTATAAATTGTAGAATGTGGGCACAAAGGAAATCTCTTTATTCTAAAATATGTGATTTGGAAAAAATGAAACAAATTATGAGAAATTAAATTAAACTTAAATCAAACTTAAGTTAAATTAATCAAAAAAATTTATTTTTAATTTATTTCTCCTATTATAGACTATGCTAATAAGAAAGCAAATTCAAAATTAATTTGAATTTAATGTGAAAATAATAATTATAGGCTCAAAAGTAAGATAATAAATCTAAATTAAAATGAAAGATTCATAAACCGTGCTGGATGTGCTTATTAATATTATAAAACATAAAATATATAATATATAATTATATATTTATATAATATATAATTATAATATATAATATATATATTTATATAATAGTTATATAATATATATGCATAAACATTAAAAGAACGTAATAACGCTAATAAACACAAATGTTTTAATCTTTTTACCGAAGTCACCTTCAACGGTAACAAAGATATTGAATTAAATTGTTAGAGTGTAAATTAAATTATTGTCCGAGTCCAATCCAAAGATGAAAATTCCAAAGCCGTGTTGTTGTCCTCAATGTATAAATTGTCATCCTTATTAGTCAATATTCCGGGATGTAAAATATTTTTCAGAAAAAGCTGAACGTCAATATTTTCCTAAATATTAGATATAAGATATGACATAAGATGTGCGATATATTTGCGTTCTAAAATATGTTTGCGAGGGATTTCAAAGAGAAATAAAAGTTTGATGATGAGACAATTGATAACAAGAGATGTTCTAACGGAATGTTCTAATTTCTAATTAATAATATAATTTAGAATCCTCTAAGTTTAACAAAATCTCATGGAAATCGTATACATATATATATA